TGGATGGAAATGGAGACTATTCTGCTAAGTGAAATAAGCCAATCCCAAAAACCCAAAGGCTGAAGTTCTCTCTGACATGGGAATGCTAACTCACAATAAGCAGCAGGGGAAGGGAAGAATAGAAGTTCACTGGATTAGACAAAGTGGAATAAGGGGGCGGGGGTATGAGAATAAGAAAGACAGTGGAATGAATTGGACATAACTTTCCTATGTTCTTATATGAATACATGACCAGTGTAATTCCACATCATGTACAACCACAAACATGGAAAGTTATACTCTATGTATATAGGATATGTCAAAATACATTCTACTGTCATGTATAATTTAAAAAATAGTTTTAAAAATGTTCAATTCAACCCATAAATTTCTCTAGATGGTCAGGCAATCAATACAGTGTTGGTTTCTATAAAATGTTCAGGATGTAATATCCATTGTTTCTAGGATTTTTCCTAAGCAGAAAAGATGGCTTATACTATTAGCATCACTTGTCTGATATCTTGGTTTTCATGGGTAGCCCAAAGTTAACAGTTAAAAGTGAGTAAATTAGGTTTAACGTAAACAGGTTAATCTTCATAAATGTGTTAGAGGAGACTTCTGATTAATTTGAAAAGTTAAAGTGCTAAAATATCAGCTGCTAAAAATAAATTCAAGTATTCTTCTTGAATTCCAAAAAGTAATATATATTAGTTTATTAAAGGTATTTTTATAAATGGATACATGAAAAAAGAGTAAGATTGCCTTTTTTCTGCGTCTCCACTAAAGGCAAAGTTACCAAGAATTAAAATTCTAAACAATTCCCAGCCATTACTTTAAACCACACAAAACATGAGCATCCCGTAAATCCAACATCTAAGAATAAAATTATTTGGCCTGTGGTTTGCCACATCCTATTTCCCTTTGTAAGTCCAAAACCTGTGTAATGTGGATGGTAGAGAGTGGAAACCTGCCCCCCGCCCCCCGCGCCAGTCAAGCTCTGCTCATTAGGACATTTTCTTTCCTAAATGAGAGCACTTGTCCTTCTTCCTTTTCTTCAACCTGGAACACACAGATCTTTCCTATCAGAACAAAACAAAACAAAAAATCACGTGTGTTTTTGAGCCTGATTCAGGTGCAATTTCTTAAATCAGATGCTTCATCTGAACACCAAATCTTTCCACATCTCATCCTTCAGAATTCTTCTAAGTGTCATTTATGGAACAATATTTGTGTTGGAGCTTTGACATTTTATTTTTGTACTCTGTACATTTTTCTTAGAATGAAGAACTTCTGGAAAACCAGAACATATCCGGAAACAGCTCAATTAGGAGTCGAGTTGTACAAAGCCAGGAACAAGGAAACACCAAACAGGTAGAGCTGGACGGTGGTTGAGGGACTCATCACCATGGTAACAGAGCTGGGGATGCAGCTTAGTCATAGAATGCTTGCCTAGCATACTTGAGATCCTGGGTTCTATCCACAGCAATAAAATTTAGAGAACAAATCCAAGGAAAAAATGAATCAATGCCTATTGGAACTTAGAATGTTTTTATGGCAAAAAAAAAGTCACATTCATGTGTCATCTATATTAAGATTATACTATCCCTTTTATTAGGTAGCAATGTAAAACATTGTAAAAAGTGTTTGTGCTGCTAATTATTCTTCCATAAACAAAAAAAGAAAACTACTTAAGTCCATATAAAAACTTGCACACAGATATTTATAACAGCTTTACTCATAATTGCCAAATGTGGAAGCAGAAGTCCTTCAGTAGAAGAAAGGATAAATAAATGTGGTACATTAAGACAACAAAATGTTTTTCAGCACTAGGAAAAAACTATCAAACTATGAAGACAACTGGAGGGATCTTAAGTGCATGTTACTGAGTGAAGGAAGCCAATCTGAAATGGCTACATACTATACCATCCCAAATATAAGGCATTCTAGAAAAGGAAAAACTATGGAGAG